GTACTTAATGTAGGGTCCAAAGTAATTTCACCCAGAACAGCTTCTTCTACTTCCTCAATTCTCACCGGATTTTCAATATCTCGTTTTTTATGTGCTTCTGAACCATTTTGCCAGAAATTTCGCTACTAATTCTAGGATGTAACGATGACGTACGTCTCGACTTGCATGCCTCTCATTAAACAAAGTTGTCGTTACTCTTGCACATTGATTATTTATAAAAATACAATTCAATAATGGCCACTCTCTCCGCAATAGAATATACCACTTTTTATCAAATCGAAAAAAAATAAAACCGCAGAAATAACGAACTATCCACGTTTACGTTTTGAAAAATATTAATAATAATAATAATAATTTCAAAATTTGCACATACAACATTCATTAAACAGTATATATACAACATTTATTAAACAGTATATATACAAAAGGGAAACATGTTAAAAAAAAGAAAAGTTATGAGAACATTACAAAAACAAACATTTCATTTAATCAGTAGGGCTCCAAATCACAAATCCAATCATAGATTTTCTTTTTAAATAATTTAAAAGTAATATTATTTGCTAATGTATTAAAACATTTTATGCAGGCATATAAACTACCTTTTTCAAAACTGGAAAGTCTATGATAAGGATGTACATTACTATATCATATAGTAGTGTACATTTTTCAAATTTTTCGACCTATATTGTTCAAATAATTGTTTGTTTTTAAACATAAACAACAATAATTCATAAACATATACACCACTTACAGTAAGTATTTTGTTTCTTTTAACATGCCCTTTACATGAAGACATTTATCCTAATCCTAACATTTCACGTAAAACTCTTGTACTATTGTACTGTAACCCCAAAAAATTATACCATACCTTAATAAAGACTAAAAATTTGCATGATATACAGTTTTAAATGTTTGAAAGTTTACATATTTTCATATAACCCTTATAGAAAACAGTATTATTTAATTTGCTACATAGCTCTTCAACATGATACTTCCAATCTATGTTTTCATCTATTTGAAGTCCTAAAAATTTTGTATTTTTAATGATTTTAATTAAAGTATTGTTAAATGTCATTTCATTAAAATTAAGATCGTAATTTAAACCTTAAGTCTGACAATTTCCGTCTTAAACGGTTTTATATTCGCCTAAAGATAACCAACTTATGACATAAAACATAGCATAATTGGTAAATATTTATCAATTACTTACGTTTTAAGATATAAAAATGGCCGTAAATTCATCAAATATTTGTTAAAAGACTATTTTTTACGATTCAGCTCTTTTTTTTCACTATTTTTTGCGAATTGTTAAAAAAAATTGCAAAAAAAAATGTTCATTCAAAAAATTGAACTTTGATGACTCCTACTGGCGAACCACTACGAGTTACACAAAAAAACACAAAGACAATTTTGAAGAGCGTGAAATTCCCTATAAGGTCCATAAAACCGATTCACAATATTGTAAAAAGCGGGCGAGCATTAGAAATTTGAAAAAAAAAACATTATTTTTACATGCATTTTAAATGGGAAAACTTTAAATTTAAACTGCAAGTACTTAAAATTGATATTAAGAGCTCTACCTTGGTGAAAATAGATTAATATTTTGCTTGAGCGCCGAGAAAAAAAAAGTTTTTTGCGGAAATGAATCACCCTAATATAGAGCCAAAGATTTTTTTAATTTTTAAAAACAAAACCATGCAGGATTATTTTCGATGGGCTACCCTGTATTATAAGAGTATCAATAAATATTTAAAGCAAAGCCATATTAACCAATATTTGTCAAGAGTTGGCGATGAAGCCGTAAATTTGGGGACTCTGCTGAAATAAGAAAAAAGTATACTTTTTTCTTATTTCAGAGTCCCCAAAAACTTATAAGTTTATGTTGTTAGATGTAATATTTAAAAAAATATTGAACTATTAATTATGGTCCTATGATTTAATACGATTCAAAGGTATGGAGATCCATTACAAAATCCTTAGAAAATCAGAGTTACCTTCAAGAAAAATATTTTACAAACTAACTATACTTTAACAAAAGATCAGGACTTAAAATTTGTCTTACGTCAATTAAATAGTTTTTTGTACTTGCTTTCTATCTTTTAAAATTTTTGAAGCGCTTGGTAACAATTAGCAATACTTTAAAAATACTTTTGAAACAAAAAAATCAGAGACTCGTTTCGAATCTGTGCTTACAAAAGGAAACACGAAACAGTAATAAAAATAAATTTTAGTGTCGGCATGGCTCACTAAATCAACTACAATTTAAATTTTTCATCCATTTAGGTCGCTCAAAATACGCATAAACTTGGTGTGACATTTTTCCTCGAATAAAAACATCTACGCGTGGCTCTATGAAAATAGAATTTCTTGTTTATGGACACAAAGTTATTGTTTTATGTAGTGTTTTAAAAGGTTATGTTATTAAAGAGTGTCCAAAATTTATGGAACTAAATCTTATCAATTCCTTTATTTGGCAATTGAGTATTGAATATTGAGTTTTATATAGAAAAATGTTGTACTCCTTAGAAAAAAATGTGTTTGTATTTTTTTTAATTTGCTTATTTTTTAAACAAAATGTAGCCCTTGCGATTTCTTTACAAGTATCTTTTTAATTTTTTTGTAAATAAACATTTTGTAAATACCAGTTTTTCCATAACCTACACACAGATACCTACCTAAAGGAAGATAAAAAACATAATCGAGAATGCCTTGATCGAGACCTAGAAAACGGCAGAATAAGCATTGAAAAGGCATAACCACAGATTAAAAATATATTTATGCTGTGGCATAACCAAATAAAACAATAGTTTCATTTCCTAAGTTTGATAAATCGAAAGTTAAAAAAAAATGAAAGTTTTTAACTTCCTGTTATAACAAGTATACTTGGAAACGAAATTCCCTAGAACAGTATTTCTCAGACTGTTCTGATGACAGCGCTCCCATTGTATAGGATGTCCTAAAACCAATGCAAAAAATGAAATGTGTTAATTTCTTGCAAAATCTAAAAATCAAAATTCACTGCGGCGCTTCTTTTGGCTTCTTTTTTTTGTTTAATTTATTTTGTTATGTATTTAGAATTTTGAGGCCAATATATAGTTGGTCCAGCACAGTTTAAAGCGTGCTTTGATTTCCACACTCAAAATTTCGAATAATTTTTTATTATTAATATTTAAAAAAATGGCAAATTAAAGGAGGGCTTAGATTTTCGCAAGGAAATTAAACCAAGCAGCAATTTGTGAATGAACTTGGGCACGACACTTTTTGTTTTCAAATTGTTTCGATATAAATAGGAAAACTTATTTTTGAATGGAAATTGTGTCTTCTTCAAATTTGTGTTTGCTTATAGCAATTGTGTTCAAAAAAGTATCGGGTGAAGTAGCATTATTATATAAATGTGCCTAATTTGCATTGCCTTTTTGCCCTCTTGGAAACAATAACATAATTTGGACTCACTATAGTAAGCCTATAGGTTCGACACTTAGTTGACTCAATTTTTTCATATATATGTGCTAGATTGAAGTTATAAAGTATTTCATAATATTAGTTGTTTCCTATAGGCCTATTTGTAACTATAGTTGGTATTCAATTTGTTTGCAATTAAAAATAGTTTGGGTTCATTTAGGTTTATTTTGTAACACGAAACCGTAACCAAAAATTAGAAACACTTTGGGCATAAATCGGTTATACTACCGGGCACATTATGGGAAAATATTAGCAAACATTCGGGAATATTATGTGGGAAAACTTTTTGATACAACTTCCGCCACCACTTTGCTCTTATTGTTCACACTTAAGCTGGGTTCTAACAGAAAAATAACGTAATATAATTTAATTTAACTTTAAAAGTAATTTAATTTAATTTACTTGCGTTCATACAAAAAGTAACGTAATTTAATAGTGTTTGAATTTAAAAACAATATTTTAAAGAGAGTGCTTACTTAATGTATATAAAACTTAAAGTTTTAGATATATATGGCTTACTTTGGTAATTACAATCACAATATTTGTCTTATTATTAAAAATGTTTACACAAAATAGGTTAGATTCTCCCAAAATAGGTTAGATAATACGAAATAACCTTGAAATAACGTAATTTAATTTAAAAGATAAAAGTTGGCCAACTATTAAATTAAGTTTTAACTTTTAACGTTTTAATCACTGTATGAACGTTACAAAGGATTGTTGGGTTTTTAACTTTTAAGTTAAATTAAATTACATCTTAAATTAAATTACTTTTCTGTTAGAACCAGGCTTTAGTTGTCTTAAAGTCGACTTTGTGTCTGGTCCAAAATCATGTTTTGACTCTGTGTCGAAACACTGCCCAAAATGTTTCATTCTTTGCTGCTTGGGTAAGTTATGGTAAAATTGAAATACTTAAACCAGGAAATTAAAAAAATAGTGTGAGAGTAATGTGACCAAGCCCCTCCGCATCATTAGGGAGCCCATGCTTAACATTAAGAAAGTCTGCCGTAGATCATAATTATATGTGGAAAAAACTATTAGGATTATTTTTTACTACTACCTTTTCAATCTTTATTATATAGCGATCGCGTACCTATTCACGCGATCGCTAAATCTATACCAATATCTTCTATAAGTATAATAATAATAATAAACGAATTTATTTGATATAAGCATCCACTAACATAAAAAAGGCGAAGTTCAATCAGAGATTGTCAGTCATTTAACTTGAAATTTGAAATTTCTCAGTTAGTATGCATTTTACGAAAATATGTTTAAAATAAAAATTAAATGATTCAAGGAGGGAAATCAATCAGTACTAAAATTGGTCCTAATACTTGCAGATTCGGATTATTCGACTAAAATTAGGTACATTTTGTCTAAAACATTTTTTCATATTTATATTTAGATGGCGCTGTAATGAAAAAAAATCAATTTTTTTTCGATTTTTCTTCTGTATACGGTTTTCCAATAATTTTTGAATAAAATACTTGGATTAATTTTTTAAATTTATTTATTTATTTCGTTTTAATATTCTGCTAACACTCTGGGATATCCCAAATCTCTGGTGTGCTTGCATGAGGATTAGCGGCTGTTGCTGCTAATACATTAATTTTATTATTTACACCTGTGACTGTTGCTCGACGAACTCTTTTTTTCGGTTGAACACTCCCGTTCGTAGTAAACTGCTTGACTGTACGGTGAAATGAAGTAAGTGATCGAATAATTTCCGGAAAACGCTGAGCGTAGATATTAACAGCATCATCAAGATTCCTGCGTGTTTCTTCATAAATCAAAATTATTTCTATTTTTTCCACTATTAAAAATCCATTATGAATAACTGCTTAACGAAAGGAGGTCTTTTTATTTTTAAATTATTTTCGAACTAAATTGATTAAATAATACTAAACTATGTATAAATGGTTTCTTTATACCTCAATAATAATTATTATTTATAACTAAATACCATTTTTATACCTCAATTAGGATTAAATGAATTAATTGACAAAATTAAAGGATTTAATGTTGGCAGGTAAACAGTGACCATGGTGCGCAATTGATAATAATGTATAAAACTTAAACCAAAGGAAACTTAAATATTAGTTAAAAAATCGTGGTTACTTAAAAAATCAGATTTAATTTAATAAGATAATTATTACCAAAAAAAGTGATATTTTTATAGACAAATTATTGCAGAATCGTATAAAAAGAAAAATCGAACAAAATTGATTTTTTTTCGTTACAGAGCCATCTATTACAAATATGAAAAAATGTTTTTGATAAAATCTACCTATTTTTAGTCAAACGATCCGAATCTCCAATAAAAAATAGGGTGTTCCATTGGAAATTTTAAAGTTACCCCCTGGTCCCCCTATAAGGAGGAGAGTATGAGGACCAATTTTAGTACTGATTGATTTTCCCTCTCGAATCATTTAATTTTTAATTTAAACATTTTTTTGTAAAATGCATACTTACCAACTGAAATATTTCAAAGTTTCAAGTTAAATTACTCACCCTGTATACATTAAAAAATCCTAATATTCACAGTGTTTTGTAAAGAAATAAATTAATTTAAATTATAAACAATTCCTTAGTATTTTTGTGCCGCTTAAAAAGGTTAAAAATCCAAGCCGATTGTCAAAATATAAAATAAATGTGGGACCGGTCTCATATTTAAGAAAGGTAGGTATAAGATAATACCTACAAACCTGCTTGCATCTATACAGAACCATCCTCTTGATTTATAATACAAGTCTACAATTTCTCGGTATTTACTGTTTTATGTGGCTTACGGAAAAAAGGGGTTTTATTTTTTAAGCCTTTTGTATTTGAAACTTTCCAAATCTGAACCGGGGAAATGTTTTCGAAGAGAAAGTGTTGATTTTTACCAGGTAGTATTAAACTTTTTTATTTTTTTTAAAGAAAATAGAAATTAAGAAAATTGTAAATATAAAAAACATTAATACGATTTTTCTCATTATTTTAATAAACAACAATTTATGTTGCATTCTCTCAAAACTATTTATAATGTTGGCGCCTTTTCTTTATTATATAAAAATGCTATACCATTTTTTTAGATAAGATGACAAATTTAGGCAAAGCAATAAATAAAAAGGAATGTCTACAAGATAAGGTTGTCCCATACATACTTGGTTTTAATCAAGTTTTGTCTAGTTCTTTAAACCTTTCTTAAATTTTATAGATTAAAGTGTTCTCAAAATACAATAGACATAAAAATTAAATAATACAATTTATATTTTTAATACATCTGCACCCCATAAGAAAAATATAGTATGTGTAATTTAAATACATATATAGTTTAATAACTATAAGGTTATAACTAAAGTAAGCATTTATAACAAATCACCCTTATATATACATATATGTATATATAAATATTTATAAACATAAAGGTAAAATCTTTGAATTGTTTTTGGTTATAATTTTATCAACTCTGAAAATAAATAGAAAATCAAAATAAAGTTATAAGATATATCCAACTAACGGTTACATTTTTATTGTAGGTAAAGAAAAAACAGGAATACCATAAAATAATAGTATTATGCATTGTTTAATAGTTAAATTTGTACACAGTATAAAAATAGACTTAAAATTACGTGCACCCGATTTTTAACATGAGTTTGTTTAAAAGTTCGAAATTATCTCTCGAATGCTATTTTTGGTATTTTAACCCTCTTTTACAACAGACTATAAAATCTCTACATAGGAAAAAATGTATTTAATTATTTATTTTTTTAATATTTAACTTATAAATTAAATAGACATTAAGGAAACTTTTGTGTTATCTTGTGTAATAAAAAAACAATTTATTACAAATACAAGAAGTCCATTCCGAATATTAAAACTTTTTGTTAATTAATTATTTAGTTTTAATGGGTAATAGTTCCTGATTTATTTTAAAGTAAAATAATCGTGAAATATTTTCTTAAAACAGATGTTTTTACGTCTAATATATCGTAAAACTGAAATAATTCCCAATGTTTGCCCAACACCAATAAAATTTATTTTATGGGATTTATGGGATATAAACTTGTCATCGTAGAGTTTTAAAATTCGATTTTTATAAAAGGTAAAACAATATAATACATATACAGGGTGTTATGAAAATGGCACACTAACGTTGTAGGGTTATTTTTAAGTAAACAATTTTTTTTTGGCAAAGTCATTATGGTTTAAAAATTTAATTTAATGTTTCTTATTGTATTATTTTGTGATAATTTATTTTTTCTTAAATGATAAAAAAAATATTCTAAACACGTTTAAAAAATAACAAGTTAAAATTTGTTAATAGTTAAAAGTTTTGATAATTTCAGGTTTTTAATTTTTTTACACAAATGTTAGAAACTTGTCAATTTAAGTTAATTGCCTTTTTTATTTTGTTTCCATAACAACCGTTTTTAGATGTCCCATAAATAGGTTGCCGAGTTTTTTAAAATTAATTGCTAGATAACTCAAAAAGTATTTGTCGGAAAAAATTGTATTTCTTTATTTCTAAAATACAGCAGTTTAAAATTCACATTCCAAATAATAACCATTGTGTTAAAAAACGGTTTTTAAATCTTAGAAAAAATGCATTCTGAATGATGTTTTTTAATCGAGTCTGTTGAAATATTAATATTACAAAATGTACTCTACTGCTATGTGCAATTACATAGGTACATGTAGGTACCTACCTAACAAATTAAAAGGATTTTTAGATCGTTTTTTTTTTGAGAATCAGATTACAGACATTTTTAGTTTAAGTTTTACAATATGTGTGTTTCTATAAATCTTATTTTTGTTTATAGATAATTTTTTTTATATTATACATATAAAATATAATAATAATAATAATAATAATCTTTATTTTCTTTGACTGATAATACACCAGTATAGAAATTGTCAAAAAAACATTTGGTGTATAAACAAAACATACAACTTAAATTTACATATTGAGAATTAAAAATTAAAACAGTTAAAAACTAATTTAAAAAATAACTATATATATATAGCTTACAATACTAGCATAGTTATAGAACAAAAGTATTACATTTGACATTTAAAGTATTCATCATAAGAATAAAAGGAACCGGCATGCAGTAAATCAATAACAGTTTTTTTAAGTATTATATACTTATTTCTTATTGCAAATAAACTTTTTTCCAAAATTTGATTTTTTTTTCAGTAGAAAAAAAAACAAAAAATGGATTTTTTCATTATGTTAAAACAAAAAAGCGTTTATTCTTTGTAATTTTTTGATTTGAATCATGTATTTAAGCAAGAACCGAAATAAAACGAAATATCGTAGTATTTCGGTAAAAATTGTTGTCGACGCAATCCGTTTAGTAAACACGGCTCCGATCGTAGCGAGCTCTGTAAAACTCGTCGTTCTTTTGTTACATAGAGGTGGGGCAGTGAGTCGATGACGTCACAGACCGGGAACCGCCTTAGCGCGGCAAATGGGCGGGAAATGAATAAAATTTACGACGTGCCATTTAGCTGCTATCTGCCGGCAACGTTATGAACCATGTGGAAGCCATTACGGCGTCGCTATTGGCTGGAAACCTGTGACGACACACGTCGCCTGCTACGACGATACGTTGTGTCGAACGTGTGCGAGAAATGGAAAGTGCTACGTGTGTCTGTGATCAGTGCAGCGATCGATTAAGAATCACTTATGAGGAGAAAGTTACGACCTACGGGTTTATATCGCACTTTGTTTTATGTTTGCCGTGTATGGGAGACGGGTTGTAAACAGATTGTCTAAATTCGATGAGTTCGTTTAGCGGGACGTTTGATATCCATTGTATTTACAAAAATATGTTATCACCGACATATTACGCTAATATATTTTTATTGCAATATGTTTACCCACCATAATAAGCATTGGCTTTACACATTAACTTTTACATTTTATTTAATCAACATTTTAAATGTAGGTATATTTGTATCAAGTCAAAAATTAAACTTAAATTTTATATTTCTGTATTTTCTACATACAGTCACATACATGATCTTAAAAAAGAAAATAACTTAATTCCTCATAAAATCGGAAATATTTTTAAATTTAGTTTCGTGCTTTCTCTAAATTATTCAGGCAGAATCTGCTGAGCACACCTTTTCGTACGTACGTACAGGTTTAAAAATGATTTTACAAAAGCGGCGGCATACGTGCATCCCCGCCTAGGATGGGGTGTTGGGGAGCGGTATGCACCATGCCGCCCCCAGTCACACCATCTAAAAACTTAATCCCGAATATCGTGTAAATCGATATAGCCATGCTTTCGCCGAATGAGACCCGAGCTACAATGTTGCCGGATTTATAATAAATCCTATAAGTTAAGAATTGTACTAGGTTTTTATAAATTTTATAAGAAAATTATTAAGAAAATATTTTTAAACGCAAATTTTTAAATTTATAAATAAAAAATCCGTTATAAAAACATTTGCGAAAGATTGCATGCCATAGTTTTGTTAATAAAACCTTAAATTTATACCTACTTTTAAATAATTTCTTAATATTATCCCGGCGCATTCACCATTTTTGTAAATTCTGTGGATTTTTATAGATATTCTAAAATCCTAAAATAAAAAAAGACTCAGAAATTTCTGAATTGTTTTATAATACCACACAATTACATTTTTAAATTCAATTTATTAGCAAAATTAAAATGATTTTAAAAAAGATATTTGTTAATAATAATTATTATGGTTAATAATTTTGATTTTTACAAAGATAAAAAAAATATTTTTTATTTCACGGAAAAAAATATATATAATTTTTGCGAGCCAAAAACAACAAAAACGGTTTAGCAAAAAATTTCTTTTATGGGTTTAAAAACAAGCAGGGAAAATCATCACAATTTTTTTTCTGAGAAATCCAAAAAAAAAAATGTTTGTTTTAGTCGCATACTAAAAATGATTTCTCCTTTGCAATATTTTTTGTGTATTATTTAAAAAAAAGTTTGAGTTTTATAATAGTATATTATGTATCAAGTTTTATATAAGCTATCTTACTTACGAGTTTAATTAGGCACGAGCGAAGCTTGCGAGCGAGTGTTAACATGTGTTAATATGTTAACACGTTAATAAATTAGTTGCATAGTATAATATGTATCAAGTTTGATAAACGCCATTTTAGACCAGAATTTAATTTAATTAATGAGTGTTATTTTATGACAAATACTTATTATTATCTAAAAATGATTTAAATTTTTTAATTTTAATTTTAATTTTTTTTTTATATTTTTTGATTTATTTTTGCATAAAGCGATCTATAAAACAATAGAGTAACCAACTTAGAAATCTGTGGTGCCGTCAAATTTGTATGTGTTATGAATCGAAATGTATCCATTGAAATGAATTAATAACAGTTTTTCCAAAATTAAGTTATATCTAGTTTACTGCTGGCGAAATTAAAAGGTCAGTTTAATGTTCATATAAACTATTTAATACTTTTGCATTTTTGTATTGAGATAAGAAAATAATTTTCACATTTACTATTATTTAGGAAAGGCACTTTATTCTAACGATTGTATGACATTTGACAACTGTTAACTAACATAAAACTAACTTTAGCCCGTGACTAAAACCTGTTGTTTACTTCAGCCCGTGACTAAAACGCCATAAAGTCACAGTTCGTCAATGTAGTAGTGGTTTTCTTTCCAAGCATATAATAATTTTCATATTATAATACTCATAAGTCTGTAATAAAAGACTTTTTCTGCTTGGTTGATGTACGATTATAAAAAAATCCCGGCGCATTCGCCATTTTTCACAATTTTGTAAATTCAATTATAAAAGTTTTTAGATATTTAAAACGATATTTAAAACGGTAAACGTAAATGTAACTTTAAAGGCTTGAAAACCAAGTGGATTTGCTAATCCTAATGCATATAAAATCATATACACCTTAGTATAATTGTAAAAAAACCAAAAAGCTGAGGCTGTCTCCAGACATGTATAAATTTGACAACAGGGTGTGCTTCCCTTAAGTTTTGCAGACAGTAAAGTGAGACAAAGTTCCGCGTAACCATAACCGCAAGGGTTCAAAATGCACCATCAAAACTGCTCTTAGACTGTCTCCATTGCCTTCAACTGATTCTCTGGGCCTATCTCCAACGTCCTCTCAATGTGCTGTTTGCGTTATTAAATTTGCGAAAAAATGTTCGCCCTCGTAACACTACACTTTATAGCAATTGTCTTGTGCATTTGCAATTTTCGCATTTCTTTCTCCTATTTTCTTTATTTCGATTGCGTTGTGTACCGGGTGTTCGTAAAATTATAGTTTTACGACCCAGGTTTTGCTTTACGACAGTGCCATTATATCATCCTATACTGTTATGGTGTGTTATTGTTTTACAACTTGTTATAGTGTTTATTTAAATTTTATGACCGACATTTCACGATATTGTGGCTAGGCTAGACCAGTCTTGTTACCAGCAAACAAACTTATTACAATCCTAAACAAAAAGGGACAACTAAAATTCTGTTTGTAAGTTTTATCTTAACTTGCATTGATTAAAATATTTTTTGTGAAAGCTTTTGTCTTTATTTTAAAAGATCCAAAAGTTGATTTTTAATAATATTATGTTTCTGATAAATTATGTATAAAAACAAATTTAAATCATTTTACAAAGTTTGCATACAAGTGTAAAAATAATCCCAAATAGTAAACATTGGGGTAAACGTTTTATTTTAACCCAGATAAAGCAAAAATAGGTTAATTTAAAAAATATTCTGCTACCGTTTTTTTAAAAGGTGTAAGTTGTTTATAGTTATTTAAGAATACACCAGATAGACACTAAATTGATTTCTAGAAGTATAAAATCTGAATACAGCCTAAAATTATTTTTAAAATAAATAATTTGGTTTTTTAATATCACATTATAGCCTAAGGCACAGTTCAAAAATTATAAGAAATCATTTTATTGAGAAAGAAATGATTTAATTCAAATAGGAATGACAATTAATGCAGCAAAATTATTAAAGTCATTAATTAAAAAACTTTTGCATTTTTAAAATATTATAAAAGCTTTCATAATGCTTAACTTTGTAAATATTAAACAAGACACGGGTGTGGGTTAACTTAAATGTTAAATAAACAAAAAATTATATTTTGTAACAAATTTTGATTGTCAACTTTTCGAAATTATTATGGAGCACTAATGCTAAACAATATTTATGTCATATGGCGAAGAAGTGTGTCTTTTTGTGCTTAGATTAAAATTGGCGGAGACCTACAATTAAGCGAAGCACAAAAAGACATGTCTCAGATGAATGACATACATTTTATCTTCAACACACAGTTTTGTTTGCTAAACGAATCGTTTAAAACTATACATAAAACGTTTATAGAATTATACCAACAATTATTAAAGGTATAAATTAAGGTTAGATAGTAGTGTCGAATTTTTTTATTGTTCTTAACGGTATTTTTACAGACTATAGTCCTATAGGACTTACATTTTTAAAACAAATATTAAAGGTATAAAGTTAGGTTCAATAGCTTCAAAACTGTCAGCAGTTATGAATTTTTAAAGACTAGGATGAGACTTCACCTCATTGATGGAAATTATTTTTGCTGCAAAAGGAGATAATCGAATACTTTAGTAGTGAACATTGACAATAATTAAGCCTAAATTATGGAACGCTTGAAGATAACTATAGTTGTCGCGGTGAATGTTTCAAATTGCGTCATCAAATTCTGAACCAAGCACAGACATTACAATAATTGTATTATTATTATTATTATTGTTGTTTTCTTTTACGTATATAATCCAAGGAACCGCTTCGTTAACCGTATGTCGAGAAATTGGTTTTTGACATTCTACATTGATGACGCAATTTGAAACATTCGCCGCGACGACTATACATTATTATTATTATTATTTTTACTTTTTGCTCTACTTATTTACTCTTATGGACTTGCCTGGTTATTGCATTGTAACCAGTAGAAAATTAACACTTCTCAGAATTCTTGATTATTTTTGCATACAAAATCACCCCTCGTAAAGAACCATTAAACCATTAAAAAATGTATTTTCTTTCTAGAAATTTGGCCACCTAGATTATGCAACTTGATGGTTATGTAGAAAAGTATTTGTAAATAATATCCAAACCGCTCAAGAATACGCTAAAGAAGTATCGCTAGTAGTGCCACCAATCGGCTGTTATCATCGTAACAAAAGTAGAACTTTTAATAATCAGCTTTTAAACGCTTAGGTTACAAACGAGTGTTTTTAGAATAAAGCCGGATAATGTTAAAAAATATCGAAAAAAAAAAACGTGGATCGATTTGTTGTGTTGTTGGGTGTATTTCGAGAGGAAATCCTGGGTTGAGTTTTTACCGGTTTTCCAATAAATAGTGTTAATCTGAATGAAGAAATAAATTGCATACAGTCTCTGTAAATATAATTTTTACATATTAGATACAATAAATACACATTTTAGTAGTCATTAACGTGAGAAGTGTATACATTTCAATTCAGTAAAAATCGTCAAACAAATAAGTCGTCTAAATTTAAACAGCATTTAGAATTATTTAAAGCGTTGATTAAGAATTCTTTAAAGTATCCACTCAACGGTAAAATACCATTATATTATGCATAATATGTATTATGTTGCCATGAATTAGTATATATTTTGTTGTTTAAAACGCAGTTGTCGGCGTTTTTTAGAGAACTCAAATATAAAAATGATTGATTTTAAGGTTATGTTATGCAAAAATTATGTTTTACTAATTTCTTAAAAATGTCCAAACTTAAATATAAATTATATTAGGTAAAGTTATCATTCTTCATTCATTCTGCACCAACAAATGTACTTACCGATTTGAATCCTTTGGAAAAACATGAAAATGCAACGATTTAGTTCTTGAATTTTATTTACAATTAAAAACACAATAATTCATTATGATTAAATCCTCACACTAACGTAACTATGTAAGCATTTAAGCGTTGAGTTTCTTAATCAATGATATAAGGAATAATCAATCGAAAGTACCTACTAAAAAAGTTTTTTAATTTTTTCCTCGCAACGTGAAACACAAAAAACGTGGGCGATTTAGCTGTGCAGTTGAACAAAATTTGTCGAGTAAGACTTCTGCCTTCCTCTCTTTTGTGAAAAACTACCTATTTATATAATGTATAATCGGTGCTTTAAATTTATTGTTGACAATTCTTAGAATTTACGCAATGCATTCAAAGTCCACCAGATGGCGCGCGCGTTGCGAAAATCCGATACTTCTTTAGCGTATTGACGTATTGACACATTATTCTT